CAGGTTCTGACCAGTTCTGGAAAACTGGTTGTAAAAATTCTGACTAGCCCCGCCCTCATCTATTCTCTGCCTCCCAAGTCCCAGCTGATTGGGAGGAAATGGGGATTTTGCAGTAACCTTCCCTTGCCATGCCCACCAAGCCATGCCCCACCCACCAAGCCACACCCACAGAACCAGTAGTAAAAATTTTTGAAACCCACCACTGGTCCCCTCCAGTGACCCCTTCAGTGCATTTACTGAATCACTGGGCTGATCCATGTGCTTCCATCCCCTTCTAACCCTCTTTCTGTGATGATGGAACAGGCACCTCTACCTTGTCCCATATAGCTATGATGTTGATCCTTTCTACGTCATTTGCTTTTTCTAGAATGCATTTACAGGGTGCATTCTTAATTGATGGAGAAGATTGGCTTTTTTGTTGGAGTAATCATACGTATGAAACCATACTTCTCACCTAATACATAGCTCATATGGAGTCTATTGTCCTTCGGGTCTTTTTCATTAGTGAGTGTAGTCATTGAATAGTTGGAGCTATTGTAACAGGCATCTTATACAAGCCCACCAACATCTGCAATAAACGCCTTTTGAGTTTCATCTTGAAAGTGATTATGAATAAACATACTGACATTATTTGCATCTGGAAGATGATTTATGTGATGTTCATGTAGCTGTTGGATTTCAATTATTCACTTGATTATCAATAAAAAATAAGTGGAGAATAGCACAGAATTATAAGCAACGTGAACAGGGTATCCACTCCTTTCAGAAAGCAAATTCTAATGAAGTCAACGTTATTCCCTTTAATTCCCCTCCCCCACCCCCCAATGCTAGTGAAGAAACAAATTCAAAAACAGATTCTGCACTTTTCGACTTTTTTCAGAAGAATTATCTTGCAACAAAACCATCCAACCTGTTAATTTGTTCCCTGTTGACAGGCAAATGTTCCAAAAGGAAAAACGCCAACTATCAATTCATATTGGCTGAAATTCAATTGGACCAAATGAATTGAGACTGGCATTCCATTTGGCACAATGCAATCGCAGATCAATAGCAAGTAATTGGGCATTGCTTTGTGCAAAAGAAAAAGCTGAAGCTGTTACATTGCCGTCCACTACTGTATGGATGAGATTTATTCCTGTTTGATGAGTGTTTCGTCAATGTCCTTTCTTTCCATCAATGTGCCTTAGTATTAAAATGCTGTCCAGAAAGCCCTGAGCTTCTCATCAGTTATTAACTTAAAATTAAAAGCGGAGATGCCCAGTAAAATGTGGCCATATTGTCACATACAAAGTAATCACATCATCATGCAAAGTTATACAATACACACTTGGAACAAGGAAGAAAAAAAACCACACACTCACAGATCAAATCAAATAGCAGGCACCCCATCTGCTATTAAAAAACATTAACTGAAACAAGCTTTTCTTCCAGTTTTCCCTAATTGCAATCACTGAAAGACCAGCAGGGGAAAAAGAATACACATTTTCCTGAAACTTGAGTTGGTTTGCAGGTGTCAACAACTTTGGAAAATCATGAATATGTGTATTAGAAGGCAGATCAGGAGCTTCTTTTTATGATTCAATGTCTGGGAAGCCTCCTGTCTCTGGTACATGAAGATGAACCCATTCTATAGGGAATAGTGCCACTTAAGAGACTGTAAGAGAAAGCGAACTTGGTGACATGTTCAGGAATCAAACTAGAAACTGGGAGTTCTAGTACTACCATGGGTGCAAAGCCGCTAATGACCTTGGGCCAGTGTCAGACTTGCAAGCAAATAAACCTCTAAATCAGAACGATCCTTGGCTCCATTTATTTGGAAAGGTATAATTTTATTAGAAGTCAAGTGTATTGCAGTAATGCATAACCAGAACTGAGAATCGCATGCCAAATTCCCTAAGTTTAACTCTTCCCTCCCCTAACTGCCTCCCATTTCAAACCTCCCCCCCAACCAATCAAGTTCAGGCAAGATGTTTTTAGAACAGACACATCAAACATCAGTTTGTACACTGCTGCCGCCTTCTTCAAGACCTTGAAGCAGCATCTTAGGGATATAGAGCATTACTTTCACTTTTCCCCAAGCATCCTGCCTCCCCTCCCTCCTCCCCAGAGTTCAGGGCAGACTGTTACTTGCGAAGCACATAAGCAAGCATAAGGTGGAAGTTTTTCTCAGCCCTTGGAAAGAGGCAATGGCAAACTACTTCTGAAAATCATTGCCAAGAAAACTGGAGAGACTAGTCTAGGCACTCCACAAGAATCAGACATGACTGAAGGAAAAAAAAGACTGTAATACATGCGAAGGACATGCTTTTTTCTAGGAAAAAGTGGGATCTGCAACAAAATAACTGCAGTCTGAAGCACTCCTGATCACTACCCTATTTCCAAAAGGACCACATGATGCAAATATTTGGATCACTCTGCCCCAGCTTTATTACTTACCTTGGACTTTGCAAAGACAATGCAGTACTAGAATATTAGTAGGGCAGCTTCCAATCTTAAGGTAGATTGTTAATAAGCCCAGGACTCTTTACAGGACAGATCTGCCTTGAACAAACTAACAAGTCCATTGCATCTGCTTTGCTTGCTTTGCCCATAGGCAAGGGAACCATATTTGCTCCCCACCACCAATGGTTAGTCCCCCTGCCCTTGCCTTGTTCAGAGAGGATATCTACCAAGTACATTCTCCTAGAGAGGCATGTGTCACTCTATAGTAACTGCCTTGCCTAAGGCCTTAGTTTACTCAGAGCCAGGCATCAGAGCAAGCCTTTGGATCCTTATTTAATACCTGGCTCTAAAGATAAATGTCAGATCAGCTCTGTTCCTTGGATGGTTCTGTTGACTGTAGAGGCTTATTTGATATGTGAGAACTTCAGTGGGAGAAAGTCCAACTTTGGGCTTATATATTGACTTCTTTTTATTCTTCCACGTCTGCTACTCAATTTGGCTTCATAAGAATTCATTGTCATGGGAGAAAGTCACCTACTTTAGGATTAAGAAGGCAAACATTTAAACAGTTCTATTACAAGCATTTTGTATCTAGTTATAGCATTGGAACAGAATAACAGAATTGAAAGGGACCTGGGAGATCTTCTAGTCCAACCCCCTGCTCAAGCAGGAGACCCTATACTGGTGGTGGCTAACCTTTTTGCCGTCACGTGCCAAAAGTGGGGGGAGCGCGGGCGGTGTTGTGCATGCATGTGTCCACACCCATAATTCAATGCCCCCCGTGCCCCACCCCCCACTCTTGTATGTGTGACCCCCCTGAGAGAGGAGGGGAGTGGGCAGGGAAAGCTGAAAATCAGCTGGTGGAGCTGAGCTAGGGCAACGGCTCATGTGCCCACAGATATGGCTCCACATGCCACCTGTGGCACGTGTGCCATATGTTTGTCATCATGGCCCTATACCATTTTAGACAAATGGCTGTCCAGTCTTTTTTTAAAAAAGTCTCCAGTGATGGAGCACCCAAAATTTCTGAAGGCAAGCCATTCCACTGGTTTATTGTTCTCACTGTCAGGAAATTTCTCCTTAATTCTAGGTTGCTTCTCTCCTTGATTATGTTGGAAGAAATATCCATCTTTCCATCCATTGCATGGTAATCCATCGAAAGGTGTAACTAACAAGACATTGTGATGTTATCACATAATTGTGCTGCCTGGATGTTGACATCATAGCATCATTTTGATTGATGTGGTCACATACTGTATGACTTCCAGTAGAGTAGTTACTGTAGCACTGTAGCAAAAATAAATAGGCTGCCAAATTTATTATATCATAAGCTTTTGGATGTTACGATCCACTTCAATGGAGAAATTATTGTCCACTCTCAGACAGGGAGGGCAAATTACATATTCCATGCAGTGATGCGATTATATATGACTGCTGACTTGGAGATTTAGTACAGGATGACAAATGTAGCCTCTGACATTAATACATTTGATTGTGACATGTGCATTTTCCAGTTTTGGTTCTGGATTTTGCATACTTTGAATTAAAACTACTCAAATTCATTTTGCCTCCAGCAGAGAATAATTCTTCCAGCAAGAGTGAGTAAGCCTAGGGCTACTTGCAGCTTTTGGCCTAATTTCAAAAGCCCTTTGCAACTTAACACTTCTGGCAAGAGTAATTGGTCTTTCCTTAGCTGGGGGGGGGGGAAGGGATGGGGCAGAGGGAGGAGCAGACAGACAGCAAAGAAGATGAATCAAGGGAGATTGAGAGAGGATTGTCAGAAAGAGAGAAAAAGAGTTAACCTTGGAGCTGTGACAAATTATTCCCTAGAAAATGCAGCCTTTGGATGAAAGAGAGAAGTCCTCCTTCTCTGGTCAGGTTCACCATGGCAATGTAATGTTGCAGAGATGTAAATGCATTTCCTGGTTTGCTGATTTCTGGAAGCTTCTGAATAAGATGTGCAGTGGAATTGTGGACTGGCATTCCACTGGGTATTTGACATTATGAAGCTCTTCAAAACATTATTCTCAACTTGGATCCAATACTCACGGTGTCCTGCCCAAGACATGCATAGAGCACATTAACGGTTTAGAGAGGAAGTATGCCTTGCCAGCCTCATGGCTGCAGTTGCTTTCTTTTTAATTAAGACACCCAGACAGTGTGGATTTGGAGAGAGAAAGAGAACTTGCTCACATCTAACAAGTTTGCAAAGTGAGAGACAGATTCTCCTAAGCCAAATTTGATCTAGGTGACAACACTGTAAAATCATCCAGCTTTATTTCCTCCCTCCCAGTCCCTTCCATTTTTGTTTCTGGCTTTTATATTTTAGCATCTAATTATTGTAACAGGCATATAGAAAGGCCTCCAACTGTAGAACAGCTTGCACAAGGGAACCAAGACAAAAGGTGGTTATGTGAATTGATGCATCCAAAGCTAAACCACATTAATGACAAGTTACAGGTGTTATTTTCCCCCTGGAAAAAAAAGAAAAGGTCACAATATAATTAAGAAGGGTGTGCTCATTGTTCCCTGTCCCTAATGCATTCACTCCAAGGTACCCTTTGCATTTGCTCTGCCTAGGTATTTCCTCTCTGTTTGCTTTTAGCAAAAGCAGTGGAGGTATTTTGAAACGGTTGAATGCCAGCATTTTCAATCCCACTGTAAAACAGAGAATGCGAAAGAGAGTATTCATAATGTATGAACAATGCTAATTTATTTAGAGGCAATCATATGGTCCAATGTTTAGAACATAGTATGATGGTGGAGCCAACATTTTCATGTGGATTTGTCTCGCATTCTGATCACCAGCCAGTTTTAAATGGAAGACATTCCCTGGAATTAGAGCGTGCGTGACCTCTTGGAATTGTCTCCTGGGCTTGTGGGCAGAGAAATTAGAGGTCAATTCTTCTGAATTTTCCATTGTAGGGTGAGGGAGAGAAACTCTCTAATACTGTAATTCCTTGAAACAGGAGCTCATCGTCAGCAATCTCTATAGCTCTTCCCCAACAAATCAGTCATGTTATTTGTTAGTTTGACTTTGGTAGTAATGGTGCAGCACTAACATTTTGCATTGTCCACCATGCCCTGAGCACACTATTATTCTAGGGTGTTGTATATACCACATGTGGGATTGGGGTGGGATTGAAATTCTGCCCAGCAAAAAAAGAAAAGAAAATGGCTAACAGTGAAAAAAAAAAAATGCAAACTGGAATATCTCTAGGGAAGTAAGAAAAAAGTCAGAGGCAGAAGTAGGTACAAGATCATTTTTATATATGAACTTTTCTTTTTATCTTAAAGGTTTTTCTATGAAGTCAGAGCACTATCTGCAAGGAGGATCATTTTATGCCCCATAGGATTTTATTTTTTTTAAGGTGAATTGTTTATTTCTTTTCACTCCACCAACCACTATTTTTAAAATGAATTTACAACTTTGGGTGACATCAAGATATTAACCCTGAAGATGTGCTTATATCTTTTAAAAGGTTCTTTTAAGAGAGACAGTCCCATCCCAATGAGCTGGACTATAACTTTGACAGCTCATCTCTCATGGGAAGTGTTTTAAAATGATGGCCCAGGTGTGGCACCCTGACTTTTAAAACTTTATGCCATTTAATGGTCATTCAGATGTTTGCACCCAGGTATAGTTACTCTTCTTTCAAGTCATCCAGATATGTATCCAATTTAGAGACCAGTCATCTGACTCTCAGAGCAACTCAGAGCAACTGAGTCACCTTTGCAGTTGAAATATGGCAGTCCTAGTTTAATAGCCTGAAGTATTGGAATGCCTTAGGAATTCTTCTGCCATAACAACAGTCTGTAGAATGAACTTCAAAGGAGGCTGGGAAGTATCCTCTTTCTTAAGGCCAATTGCCATGCTAACAGGGGATAATGGTAGTTATAATCTAAGATATTTTGATGGACTCCTTCGAGAATGGCTGTTTTAGAGATAAGGGAGTCAGAAAGCAGCATTTCTCCCCATCTTTGGGGAAATATTTCTGCATCTCATAATGGTGTGAATAAAAAAAATGCTGTGAGCCTCCTCTTTTACAGTATGCTTTCCCTGTCATAGTAGTTTCAGTATTTAGAAAGATTTTTTTTTTAAAAATGCTCTGTTTTCCAATGTTCAGCTGTAACCAAGAATTTTACTGAGGAAGGATACCAGCTTTGATTCAAACGTTGAACAGTTTGGCAACAACCAAAGGGCAGCAGGATTTGCCTGCCAACCCATCTTCAGGCTCAGTTGGCCTCCATTTTATGTACGGATTGAGGGAGTCAGTCTTTGAGCCTTGAAGTAGTTTCCCTTTATGCGCTGGCATAATACCTTAAAGTGATATGAAACTGACATTCATTCTGTGGCACACATTATCTGTGTGGTGGAAGGTAGACTGGATTCCCAGGAGTGAAGGAGTGCATTCCAGAGGAGCAAGAGACAGAAAAATATAAATAGTTTGACTGGGAGGAAGAGAGTTAGAACAGCTCTTTTCCAGGCCTTCTCAGAATATATCTTTGATGCAAGTAGTTTGCTTCAGTTTGGCAAGATTTCTGTCTATGTGTGAGGAACATATAAAGGAAAATGCTTAGAAGAAACTCTAAATCTGCAGATTTACCATCTACTCTCTGCCTATTGGATCATCTCCTCCTAGTGCATGCTCCTTCCTTCCTTCCTTCCTTCCTTCCTTCCTTCCTTCCTTCCTTCCTTCCTTCCTTCCTTCCTTCCTTTCCTTCCTTCCTTCCTTCTTCTTCTTCCCTCCCTCCCTCCCTTCCTCCCTCTCTGCCTGCCTGCCTGCCTGCCTGCTAGGCCATCCCATCCCATCCCATCCCATCCCATCCCATCCCATCCCATCCCATCCCATCTAAAGGAGACCGCATTTAGTCTAGTGGTTAAGGCACCAGACTAGAAACCAGGAAACTGTGAATTTTGCCTTGGGCAGGAAAGCTGGCCAGTCACTCTCTCTTCACAGGTTTATTAGGGGAAAAGCAGAAGAAAGAAGAGATATTAGGCATGTTTATCATTTGAGTTATTTATTTATAAAAATAATAAAGGCAGAAAATGAATGCATGCATGCATGTGTGAATGAATGATAGCCTAGGACAGGGCTGTCAAACTCCTGGCCCGTGGGTTGGATGCATCACATGCTGGCCACCCCCCTGCCCGGTTTAGCGAAGGGGGGGGGAAAGCCCACATATGTCATGTGACGCTGCCATGATGACATGAGTTTGACACCCCTGGCCTAGGAGAACAAACATAGTACAGGTAGTCCTTGACTTACAATAGTTTACTTAGGGATCATTCAAAGTTACAATGGCACTGAAAAAAGTGACTTATCGCCATTTTTCACACTTATGATCATTGCAACATCCCCACGGTTACGTAATCAAAATTCAGACAATTGCCAACTGACTCACATTTATGACAGTTGCAGTGTCCCCGGGTCATGTGATCCCTTTTTGCAACCTTCTGACAAGCAAAGTCAGTGGGGAAACCAGATTCACTTAACAACCATGTTACTAACTTAACATCGGCAGTGATTCACTTAACAACTGTGGCAAGCAAGGTCGTAAAATGGGGCAAAAATCATTTAACAACTAACTCACTTAGCAATATAAATGTTGGGCTCAGTTGTGGCTGTAAGTCAGGGACTACTTGTATTTGGCTGGCATTATCCACCAGCTTTGGACAAGGAATTCTCAGAGAGATTGCCTCAACTAAAATTGTCCCAGCAGTTTGGGTTACCTGAAAGAGCACTGGGTAATCTTTCCAATGGGAAAGGAGGACAAAGGCAAGTATTCCTGATTATGGGACCCACCTATTGAATCTGAGATGGGGGTAAACACTATTTTTTAGGCAAAATTAAGAATTAAGCCTTTTTTTTAACAGAGAGAATAATAAGGCAAGTAGGAAATGAAATGGGGGAAATAAGATGTTGAGGCCGACATGGATAGCATGTGTATTAGGGAAACATAATTTTAAGGCAATAGATTGGGAGAAGGATCTTAGACTTCACCTAGTGACTTGGGGGAGGGGGAGTCTGCCCTAGAGAAATATCAGACGAGACAGGCTTTCATCATTTTCAGTCTCTGAGGAAGTGGCTGCCCTCACTGGGTTTCAAAAAAAATTGCTACTGGTTCTGTGGGTGTGGCTTGGTGGGTGTGGCATGGCTTGGTGGGTGTGGCAGGGGAAGGATACTGTAAAATCTCCATTCCCTCCCCAATCCAGGGGAAGGTTAGTGTTGAGGGTAAAACTGCCCTCTGCAAAGTGGTGCAACGGACCAGACAGCGAATAGATACGTTGCTTAGCAAAACACACAGATACTCACAGACTCTGAACGTTTAAAGAAAAATAAACAGTCTTTACTTGTAGTAAAAAAAAAAAAAACTTGGCTTCTCAAAACAAAGATAACACTTCTTCAAATAATCACGGTTTAACACAAAAACATAGTTTGCTTACAATTCCAGTTCTCTTCGGTAACACAGACACAGTTCCTTTCAGCAGTTCAACCTTCTAATAGCAGGAGCAGAAGTGAATGAACTTCCTGCCTTCTTTTATGTCTGCTTAGCACAGCCAGTTAGTCATCTTGTAGCAGTTAAAGTTACAGAACATAGTTTTCTATATATTACCTACCCAACCATAGGATAAGCATCCAACAGTTATTGCAAAATCCCCATTTCCTCCCAATAAGCTGGGACTTGGGAGGCAGAGAATAGATGGGGGAAGGGCCAGTCAGAATTTTTACTACCGGTTCTCCGAACTACTCAAAATTTCCGGTACTGGTTCTCCAGAACTGGTCAGAACCTGCTGAAATCCACCTCTGAAGCAAAGGAACCTTTTGCTCTGATGAGCATGGAGGGTTTAAACTGCTCACAATTAACTTGGCTTTGCCATAGCCACAGGGATTTTGGTGATTTGAGGACTGAATTCTGGAACTGAATCGAGATAGCTTGGATGACCACTTGGGGGAAAACACTCCTTCTCACAACAGGTCCTAAACTGTATAGAAACATACTTAGAGATGGCATATTTGTATATCAAGGTGGAAAAGGTGGGAAGTGCTACTATTTCACCTTATAGTGTTTGAATGTAAAATCAATCTGTACCAGACTCTATAATGTATATAGAGATGCAGTGTATAATTACCCAGAAAGATGGATTTCTATCTTATATATCTTGACACAGACTATTACAAATGTCACTGAGCACCCATGCATCATTCTATGCTACTTTTTCTCAAAAGTTCAAGACGGAAGTCATCCTTCCGTCAATTTTTCCTCTCCACAGCCTTGTAGGATAAGTAGGATTGAGAGCAATATTGCCCTACGTTATCCAATGAGTTTCTGTAGCTAAAGCTAAACTTGAACCTGGGTTGACCTTGGCTTGGGCCAACACCTTCACTATTATGCTACATTGGTTCCATTGCACCATGTTTGAATTCTATGAGATTAAAGTGGCAATCTATTGGTTTGGGTCTTATTTTTTTGTTTTGTAAAATAAGCCCTTTTAAAGAAAGATGGGATTAGGTGATCCATGTGAGAGTTTACTTGATTTGCTAATCATGTATTGTTTTAATATATTGCTCCATTTTAAATTAAAAGATGGTTGCAAACAGACATTTTCCCCATCATGAAGAACAATGAAACTTACAGCTTCATGTTTATTTTTT